TTACCCTTTTCTTCCTGATGTTTTTCTCCAATGTTCATCCTTTGTCTTGTTTGTGCGAGTGCAGAAGAACCGAGGAAGCAGTGTTGCCAGATTTTAAAAAAATTCATTTTATGCCAAAAATATGCCAGAAATGCCAAATAAAATGTAACATTGTACTCGCTTCACATCAAAAGCTCTAGAATGAATTCTTCACTGTCAACCTCACTGGAGCAAGTGGAAGACACGGCGTAAACCTTTTCGGATGTAAAATCTATAAGCATTTTCTTGAAGAGATTAAATCTTTGCAGCTCATCTATAATGATGGCCTATTTCTTGTTCCGAAAATCATCAATAAGGTCATCCTTAAGTGCAGGAGATATAATATTTTTTTTATTAGGCATGAACATTTAGTTCTAAGCAACTGTATGTGCTCCAATGTACTTCTCGGCCATGCGCTTTTATGGTTTTATTTAGATGATCAATTGTGCACATAGCACAATGACAGGTCATGTCTACAGCAAGTTTCAACTCTGCTGCCTTAAACTTTATCATTACTTTGCCTAGGATAGGAGTCATTGTTGTAACAAGCTGTCATTGGCTTTTTGACGGAGTTTTCATCCTGTGTTATTCGGATTTTTCATGATTTGATATGCTACTAATTCTTGGTGCATAAGTGCACTGACACAGTTTACAGTATGCTACCTCTGATGATCTTTTGAGCCGTGAGTATGTTTGCTTCCAGTTACTATTATATTTGCGATGTCATAAGATGCTTTCCATTTGGGAGCGGGGAGGAGGGGGGGGGGAATGATATGGCCATTGGTAAAAGTAATAATATCTATCATAGATAGAACTAGGTCTATATCCTCTCTATTTTCTGTCCTCAAGTAGTTTCTGAAGTCTGAATCATTTGGTGTCAGTCGTGGGTTTTGGTTTTATATATCGCATTTATTCTAGTAGATTAACATAAATTACAGAGGGCCTTGGTTTATCAAAGTCACGATCCGTTTAGGAAGACAACAAATACAATAAGAAATGGCGCGAATCTCCGTTAGTCCGTATCAGGACATCACAACAAAGTCAAACTGAAAGAAAGATCTGAAATAAAGATGTCTACATTGCTTTTAGTAAATCTGCGTATTTCTAACGGAAGAACCATGAAGAAAATGTGAGCACATCTTGATAAGAAAAGCCAGGAAAAAACCAAATATGCAGAAGTATGCCAGTTCATTATCTTATGCCAGTTCAATTTCAAATATGCCAAGTTTGTGGAATTGGCATCAAAAATGCCAATATGGCAACACTGGAGGGAAGCTTATAGCAGTCATTTGGGCAGTATACTCCCGCATGTGTTGGCACTAGGACCATGCACGCTATTTGTTATTTCCGTGATCTTTCTAGGCGACCTTCCCTGATGTTGACACAACGCAGCCTCACATTATTGTCATCTGTCGAACCGCGGCCAGCGTCGACTTTACCTAACGAGCACGGGGCGGGAGGCAGGGTGTAATGGCAGTATACGGGCCTTCCTTTTAAAGAAATTTTCGAGAAAGCCTTTGGAATAACCTTGCCCTACCCGCGAAGAACTGCATCTTAAATCAGGAGGTAGGTTACAGGACGTTGCAGAACCAACCTTAACAGCCCCTGACTGTTGTGTGGTTTCTCTAGGCAAATTTACGTCCAGTAGTTTGCCATTGCCATCTGGACGGTCGGCTTTCTTGATACCACTGTCGAAACCAACGCAAGGCGCATTGCCCGTAGCTGGGATCAAACCCGGCATCCCGGCATTACGAAGCGAAGTGTTCGCATCGACTTAGCCACAGAGCCGACCAGGAGGTAGATGTTACGAAAAAGTGGCAAGATTTCCTTGGCTGTTTAAGGGACTGCAGTTTTATGACACCCCCCACTTTCCCGACCCTTTCCCTCGGTTACCTTTATGTTTTCAATGACAACCAAATCGAGAGTATAAAGACCTCTTAATTAACCAAAATCCTAGTTGTAGTCTAATATCTGATTGCGGAAACTGCCACTGAAAATCGGTGCAAGCAAATGGTCATCTTAAGTTATGGGTGCCCCAATTTTAACTTGATTGGAAGTTTGACAGGATATCTAGAATTTGTCCTGGTGGCTTGCCACCCAGAACGATATTCTTTATCATATCCGGTCTGGACACAAAAAAGGAGCGGGAAAGGAGGAACGGAAAGAACCGATGAATGTACAGCCATTGATACAAGAGTTTCATCAAGGGAAACTGGCGGAAGTGTCAAAGGTGGACAAGTCACAGCGAATGATAGCGATGGAGACTGCGTGTTTATGTCAAAGCGGATTTCATCACATGTGCTGCAAGGAATAAAACTAGGAAGGGGGGGGGGGGGAATTCAAAATATTTCACCCCCTCCCCTGCATACTGACTGACTGACTTTCTACCCCACTAGGATATCACACAAGCGATAAACACCCGATGACACAAAGCGCCACCATGTGGATGAGGATCACCGTGGAGAGGTCCCAGAAACCGCGTTCAGACAATTGGCCATATTTATGGCTTGCTTATATTACGGCCCCTGGTAAAAGCCAGAGTGGGGCTTCAAATAACAAAAAATTACGTCCTAAAAAGGACGTAAGGATATTAATAGTCACAACCCCTGCATATACAAATCTTTTCAGTAAAAAAAAAAAATGTGTGTGGATAATGACCTTGACTCCCCTCGCATCAATTTTGTAATCCATGAGATGCCTATTGCAAGAGGAAGCGCCGACACTTTTGACAATCAAATCATTGATGTTTTCTTTTTTACGTAAGTGGGCGGTGGCTGTCACCGGAAGTAGATATGATTGCAACCAAGGCTCCCCCCCCCCCCCGCCCCAAGATCTGGGTTTTTATTTGACGCATTGGGGAAATCTGGGTTTATTTTAAATATATCCTTATATAAAAGTGGTAAATGTTTCGTTTCGTGACTTTACATTTTGTTCATTTTAACAATCTGGGTTTTTTGTTTGTTCTTTGTCTATGCATTGCTTGGTTTTTTTTTTTTTTAATAGCGAAGCTGGCTTTTTCAAAATAATCCCATTTGGCAGCCCTGATTGCACCGGTCGAAACAAGGAATACAGGGAACCCGCTAGACTATAGGAGTGTCCCGGGAGATCCCCTACGAAATCATGCGGCCGATGCGATCGGGTGACTTTCGCAAGTTGTACTAGACATTCTTAGCTGAAAAAAGTGGGGAGGGGGGTGTAATTTGAAGGAACGTTCTGGTTGTTCGTCCACCACTGGACTTTAGACTTTTTCCAGAACCTGTTGCGTGCATCCATTTTAGTTCCCCCTTATGGGTTTCCGGCTGCCATTGGGGAAAGGGGAGCCATGCAAGGAACCAACTGCCACTCTAACAAGCACACCGTAGGAGTCGATTAATTGCGTGCCTCCTTCGAAGTCGAGGTACATCTGCACGAGAGGCAAGGAACCGAGAGCATAAAATAAAGTAAGCCAGATGTAGGAAACAAGACTGAAGTCCAGAAGTGGACGAACACCCATACCCTTCCGGCATAATTTACAGCCAGTGAACACGAAGAAGAAAGGAACTGCTCAATAATAAGTATGTCGTAAAAGGCGACTAATTAGAGATTGTAATCTTAGAAGCCGGAGTGCATCTGCATGAGAGGCAATCTATAAATAAACCAAATATGAAAAACAAATATACTCGCAAAATTCTGGAACAAGACCCAGGTTTAGAAGTGGACAACTAGAACTTTCCACCAGAGATTACAGCCACCGATTCTAGACCCAGGTTCAGAAGTGGACAACTAGAACTTTCCACCAGAGATTACAGCCACCGATTCAAGACCCAGGTTTAGAAGTGGACAACTAGAACTTTCCACCAGAGATTACAGCCACCGATTCAGACCCAGGTTCAGAAGTGGACAACTAGAACTTTCCACCAGAGATTACAGCCACTGATTCTAGACCCAGGTTCAGAAGTGGACAACTAGAACTTTCCAGCAGAGATTACAGCCACCGATTCAGACCCAGGTTCAGAAGTGGACAACTAGAACTTTCCACCAGAGATTACAGCCACCGATTACTAAGAAAGTGTAGAGACGTTTTTTTTTTCTTTTTCTTTTCTGATGTCAGATTTTCTTTAAAATGGCTTCAAAGCTCCATAAATCTTGGGCAAGGGATACATCATTAAGTTTTCCCCGGGGCCAAAGTGTTGAACATGGGGATCGCCATAGGCGTGGCACCCAGCAAAAATCATTAATACTTCTGGCAATGATACGTGGCCCACTTGCTAGGTATCTGCAGGTTGATTCGGCTCACCAGTTGAATATCTCAAGCTTAGGTTCTCAATTTTTCTATCTATCTTCAGTTACCCCACCAGGACATCACACAAGCGTTAAACACCCGATGACACATCGTGCCACGATGCGGATGAGAATCACCCGTGGAGAGGTCCTAGAAACCGCGTTCAGCCATTAGACCATATTTATGGTCGGGCTATATTGCGGTTGCCAGAGTAGGGCTTCAAATAACGAAAAACTGCATCCCACAAAGAGATGACAGGGATATAAGAGTAGGTTCTCAAAGACAACCAAAACAAAAGCGTTAAACTCTTCCGGTGAGAACACCTCACCGCCCAAAGCTGTTATCAACTGACGAGCGACCTGAAGTGATCTTCAAGGACAGCCCACTGTATTCTCCCCGCCTTCTCAGGCCAGGCCAAACCTGGAGGTTGGACTTGTCCTCTCCCCGCCTTCTCTGTTATGAAAGAACCGCCGTTTTTGAGTACAATTCACTGCCCAGTAAAATGACAGCACAACTTAGCACACGTGCCTGTTGCTTTTTTTAACAAGGTAGGGAAAGAACCGGCAACAGTAAATTGGCTCCATATTGACTATTCAAATATTTTTTAAAGATACTTATGTAAATCACACTTTGTTTTTGGGTGGGTATTGTAAATGAAACTGAAATTGATTTAGGTGGACAGGACTATTTGTGGTCAACAAAACACGGGACAGGCTGACAAATGGAGGACTTCAAGTTCAGCACGGCAGACATCACACAGGCCTTGTTCAACCGTTTTATTGTCATTATAGGAGATTCAAGTAAGTCAGTTACATTTGTGTAGTTGAAATTATTTTATATTTTTATGTTTCGGCAGTAATGTGGTTATGTTTTTTTTCAGTTGTGGCTGTTTGTTTCCCCCGCCTTTTCTGTACGACTGTCCCTACACGGTGTTGTCTGCCATGTTTGGTGTTTGATTTTCATAATCGAGTGCTTTTCATTATGAATACACTCACTTCAACTGATCCGCTTTCAAAGAATTTAAGTAACCAGTGGTAGCCATAAAACAAGATAGAATATAAAGCAAAAAACGTATTCAAATCCTTCTTTCTCTAGCGTGCTCTTTGACTTTGAGTAGCTGAACTTCTGCTTATATTTTAAATGAAGAGTGATCACTACAATTATTAAATTTAATGTGAATTTTTTTCCCCCACACACTTTAATTGTGCTCATAGGTTCCCTGTCAGCAACAAATATGTTCAGACGTTTGTTGAATGTGTACAACTGCTTCTGTTTCTCGCTTTTGTCATTGGTTGTGAGACTTGCAGTTTTAACTAAGCGAGGAACATCTCAAACAGTGAGGAGATTACACCTACAGGCAACCTCAGCTGAGGAGACTGTACTTTTTTTTGCTTTAGATCAGTAAGGTTTAACAAAAAAAACTGCCCAGGTTGTTGAAGAACAAAAGTGAATAGGGAAACATTTACGCAAACCATGGAAGAAAAGATTGCTCAAACTCTAAAGATGACTAGTCACAGCTATACAGTTCTCAAACTGTAAAGATGGCAGGGGGGGGGGGTGGGGTGTCTCTAAAACAACTCTAATTAGTTGCCTTCAACATGTTTGAGGAACAGTGGGTCTTTTCTAAAAATGGGGTCCCCAGAACCCACACGGTGAAGTAATGATACAATAGGCCAGCTCTGTAAAGCAGGTGAGGTGACCAAACAACGCTCAGTTATTGGAACAAGACCAAAGTACAAACACAAATATGTTACCAAGACTTACTGCCAAAGTTCTGAGCAAGTGAGCAAGACAAGATGACCCCTGATGGTGTAGACCAAAGAATATACAGACTATAATTTTTTACCTAATTCATTTAAGTAACTAGATGTTTCAAGTGACAGTTTACATGCAATATATTTTTTTAAACAGATCAAAGAAATATATATAAAGACCTTGTCCTACTCCTACAGACAGACAGATATTTAACTGAAAGGGAACTGAGAACAAAGGTAAAGATATTTTTATCTGCACTAGTATTTACACAGATGCATATAATTGTCACTGTCAGCCTTTTTATAAAGACCATTAACTGATGAACATGAATGAAAAATTTAGGACAATTAGTTTGGGACGGTCATACATTTGATACACTGTTACTGTTGACTAATAGATGATGTAATAATAGATAGCATTAATGACATCCTCACGCCACTTTGTCAGTCCCTCTAAATCTGCACCAGCCCCACTACATCTGCACCAGTCCTACTACATCTGCACTAGTCCTACTACATCTGCACCAGTCCCACTACATCTGCACCAGCCCCACTACATCTGCACAACTCCCGTTAAATCTGCACCAGCCCCACTACATCTGTACCAGTCCCACTACATCTGCACCAGTCCCACTACATCTGTACCAGTAACACTACATCTGCACCAGTCCCACTACATCTGTACCAGTCCCACTACATCTGCACCAGTCCCACTACATCTGCACCAGTCCCACTACATCTGCACCAGTCCCACTACATCTGCACCAGTCCCACTACATCTGCACCAGTAACACTACATCTGCACCAGTAACACTACATCTGCACCAGCCCCACTACATCTGCACCAGTCCCACTACATCTGCACCAGTCCCACTACATCTGTACCAGTAACACTACATCTGCACCAGCCCCACTACATCTGCACCAGTAACACTACATCTGCACCAGTCCCACTACATCTGTACCAGTAACACTACATCTGCACCAGTCCCACTACATCTGCACCAGTCCCACTACATCTGCACCAGTCCCACTACATCTGCACCAGTCCCACTACATCTGCACCAGTCCCACTACATCTGCACCAGTCCCACTACATTTACACCAGTAACACTACATCTGCACCAGTCCCACTACATCTGCACCAGTCCCACTACATTTACACCAGTAACACTACATCTGCACCAGTCCCACTACATCTGCACCAGCCCCACTACATCTGCACCAGTAACACTACATCTGCACCAGTCCCACTACATCTGCACCAGTCCCACTACATTTACACCAGTAACACTACATCTGCACAACTCCCGCTAAATCTGCACCAGTCCCACTACATCTGCACCAGCCCCACTACGTCTGCACCAGCCCCACTACGTCTGCACCAGCCACGTTACGTCTGCACTAACCCCACTACATCTGAGCCAACCCGGCCACATGAGCACATGCTCTGTATCCTCCACCTCTTTCACAATATATTTAACTGTTTCAGTCCCAAGCAGCGCCTGGTGTGGGAATTATTCTGCCTCTTGAGATCACTCAATAGCATCATGGGCTTTCTTACTTTTTATATACTAAAGAAATCTGGCTTCTGGACAATTTATTACGAAAAAAAAAAAAAGGCAGTCATTTTGTTTACCATATTTGGGGAAAAGAAAAGTGAAACATGTAACAGCATTAAAGATATATGGAAAAAGGAATAGAATATGAGAGCAAATATTCTTGATAGCCAATTGTCATATGATTGAATTGTACCAGGAAATGAACCGATAGATGCTGTTGATTTCAAGATGTGAGTATGCTCTCCACCCAGTCGACAAGGCACTAGATGATAATGTTATTACTTATGTTTTGCATGTTGAAATAATTCATGTTTAACTCTTTCCTTGCCCTATTGTGTCAACACCCACCCAGACACAGCAGTGTGTTACTTTATAACCATATTGCCCAGTATTGCTGTATTATGTGGTTGAATAGGTTTTCTGGGATTTGTGCTTGTTTTGATTCCTTGATATTTTAATCCTACACACTTCATTCTTGAAAATGTAACAACAAATGACAGTAAAATAAAACATTTTCACATGGATCAAGTTTAAAAAAAAAAATATTTTGGCCCATTTCTTCAGTTTGCTCAGATAAGTAAAGTCACACACGTCACATTGATGAATATGTGCTTGTAAATAATAGCAAACAACTGTGTCCTGGGAAGTAGAAAATAAAAATCAGTTTGTGAAAGTTCTCACTCACTTTCAGGAGGTTCATCATCATCATGTGATCTGCCAGCTGCTGTAGGCGCTCATGCGTCTCCACAGATCACGATCCCTGGTTGACTTTCCAGTTGTCACAATGTTTTCCAAATGTCTCTCTTTCCATTATGTGGACAAAGAACAGTGTTTGTCTCTTTCTTAATGTGACTAAGAAGGCTAAAGGGAAATAATAAGGATTTTAATGTACTGATTTATTTTGTTAGTTGTCTTTTGTCACTCTGGAATAAAACATCAAGTTTGAGAATGAAGGTAGTTAGAGCAGCTTTCGGCTGGCTCGAACCCTTTTCTTCTTAAAATCCATGTCGTGTGATGTTGGTAATCATGTGTATCCACAACCTTCTGTCTCGTGTACTTTCAGTCAACTCTGACACAAATAAACCTCCATGCCATGATGTCAGATTGCCCAGCATCTTTTCTCTCCATCTCCCTCTGCCTCTCCTCCAGTTTCTTTCAAGACATCCTTATTACTCTTTTTATCTGTCCATATTATTCACATTGTTCGTCTATAAAACCACATATCCGCAGCTTCCAAATAATTGTCGCTGTTCTAACAACTGTCGATTTTTCACTTCTGTAAATTAAGATAGGATTTATTTAGCTTTTTAAGAATTCTCTTTCTCGTCTCAATTGACAAAGAAAGATTGCATAAAATATTCTTAAGTTGGTAAAATGCTGCCTTTGCTTGAGCTATTCTATATTTAACTTCCTTAATACATCTTCCATCTGATATCAGAGTGCCCAATTACTGAAACCTGTCAGCTTGCTTGAGAACCAACTGCACCTAAATCTGATTGTAGCAGACTCATAAAGCATGCTGAGGAAGGAGGAAAAAGCAGGTTTCTTGTAGAATGGCAAGCATTGTGTCAGTGGCCACAGTAGTTGGCATCCCTCGGATTTGTCTCTGGTTTATCCAGTTGTGTTTGGAAACAAAAGGGTAAGAGATTGGCTGGTGCTGCATCATTGGATGATGAATGACAAGCTAGATTTTGGTCAAGGCGTTTAGGAGCAGAGTGACAACACATGAGTGCAAAAAAGATCAGTAGATTGAAAAGAAAACTGCAGCACGGGTGACCAGAAGGTCTGGCTGACACTCTACACTTAGAGGAAAGGCAGCGTAAACATGTAATCAAACTACTGCTGGTACCGTTGACATTAAAACTGCTGCTGAAGTTGAGGATGGATCGCTTATGAGAAAATCCAGAGTGCTGCTATCACGGTTCCTAACCCAGCTCTTCTTTTTTCACGTAAGCTGCTACCTAAAGATGTCATTAATCCTGAGACTTTCAGAGTTTCCTCCTGGATGACAGACCAGCAGAACAAATCCCACATTTCACCATTCAACCTCCACAGGAGTTATAATTGAGGCAAATGGAATGGCTGCTGTAGACTGTTGCAGCCTACAGGCCCTGCGAGTAAGGGTAATCAGGTAATCACATTTCCGGCGTCATAGCCAACGGGTTGCCCTCGTAGTTGCTCCATTCCTGTGCTATCAAAAACCACAAAGAATATCCATCACTGTTCTTTGTGAAAAAATGGTTTACATGGACGGCAATCTCAGCAAATCTGATTGCGCACACACATTAAATGCATGCATAGGGGGGCCGCATTAGCACAGTCGATAGGAGACTCGCTTTCAAATCCAGCTGCGACTTGCTGCAGCCCACAGCCGGTATTCGAGACCGGGCGGTTCTCGGGGTTTACCCAGCCTTTACGTAATGGGTATGGAGGGACATCGCTGTAGCTACAGAATTGCATGCGGACGGCGACACATGAAGACAGTTTCTTATCAGCTGTCTGTACTGGTGGCCACCCATCTAAGTACTAACCATGCCCTCCGTTACTTGATTACGACGATCGGATGAGATCCAGTATTTTCAACAAGGTATGACCAAATACCATTCTGGTGGCATAACACTTGTGGTTTATAACCGTGTGCAATGACGCTGGTTCACATCTTCCAACTTAACTTTTACATTAAATGCATAAGGCAACCATCAGAAGTGCCACCACTTGTAACCCAACACTAGAAATGCAGTTCACTGTCAATGGAAGCAACACTCAACAACAGATCACTAGTTCCACATAGTTAATTGCATAAGTCACCACCAGTTCTGGGGCAACAAGCACAGTCAAAAAGCGTTCTAGATGAAATCCCCAGCTCACAGAAAGGTGAAGATAAAGTCGGGAGACGAGCCTATGTGAGTAAATGTTTCTTTGTGTAATAATTGTCCTGCTTTTAATTTCTTCTTTGTATCCTATTCTGCCTTTATTTAAGGGAGAGACATCTTTCCTGGATGATGAGCTAGTAGAGGGTGGTTCCATGAAGAAAATGTCTAATGGAACAAACTACAGGGAAGTGCGCCAATATAAAACTGATGTGCACCTGATTCGCTTCTACTTTGTGACACGCTGCTACAATTTGTACATGGAGAGCATTCTGGATGATCTTCAACAGTCGCCTTTTCCTGATATTCTTATAATGAACTCTTGTTTGTGGGACATAACCAGGTACGTCAGTGATTTAAAAAAAAAAATGTTTGTGTGTTTTCATGTGCTTTGGCACCTGTGGCTTAAGTCTTTGTGAATGCACTGTGTAATCCTGAAATACCTGTTTCATTTCGGTGGCGGGCGATTTGACAGCCGACTGCATTGCACTGATTTTAACAATGGTTTGGAGCACTGACCATTCAGCAGCTAATGATGTAAAAGGCCCATTTCCATGACATCAGACGTATTGGGCATATCAGCACAGTGTGGGTGATGTCAGCATCACGTGACTACCTTTACTTTCTAGGATTTCTCTGGTACCCATTCAAGGCTGAGTCAACCAGGGAGCCAAAGTAAAAAAAAAAAAAGTTTGCCTCCATCATAACCTGAACCCACGACCTTTGGATCCATAGCCGAGCGTCTAACCGCTACATTACGGAGGCTCCCCATTTGTAATTGTGACGTGATAATAGCCTTTCAGTAATCATATAGCTGCGGGGTAGGAGTCATCATATAAAGTGTTTTAAGTCACAAGGGCACGAAAGTCATTTAATTCTCCGCTTAGTTCATTTGTGTTGAAAACTCCCATAATGTATTTATTGAAGCAGAATGAAGATTTAGTCTTCAAATAAATAAAAAATAAAATTATTAGTGACATCCCAAAAAATAAATTTTTAAGGACTTTTTTCTGGGGTTCCTCAGATTGTAACATTTGTTACCATTTAGTTTCTGGGATGAAAGAGTTACATATGTTTTAGTTGTGTATGACAGTATAATGATGATGAGATTGAAACATTGACTGACATGTTGTGTCTGCACAGATATGGTCGGGAGTCTATTCCTGATTACAAGGTCAACCTGAAGACATTGTTTACACGCTTGTCCGAGTGCCTGCCATCAAACTGCCTCGTCATCTGGAACACCACCTTGCCCATCTCCAGCAGTGCCAGGTCGGGGTTTCTCATACCTGAGGTCACTTACAAAGCTGCCAGGCTAAGACGGGACATCCTGGAAGCAAATTATTATGCTCACATGGTATGATGTGTGTGTTTAGTTGTTGTGGTTGAACTTAAATGGTCTGCTGTTTGTTTATTATTGTGGTTGAACTTATTGGCCGGGGGGAGGGGTATTTATGTGGGTTTAGGCTAAGGGATTGACCTATAAAAATTGGATGTCAGATAATTTTCAGAAATTCTGGAAAGGATAAACACAATGTAGGGATTTGCCATCCTCACCATTCTATGTAATGAACTAGTAAATGAGAATGCCGAATAATATAACAAATTTAGCAACTGTAGTTTTGCTATAGGACTAGATTTACCGGAATCCCATACTTTTAAAGTCTTAGCTCTTCATACTTCCCCGGACAGCAAGTCACATACAAACACACGCACACCTTTTTTCTTTCTTGGCAGTTGAGTCTACAACATATTCACTGCTTCCCCCCCCCCCCCCCCCCAAAAAAATCAATAAAGTATATAAAGAAAATATATATATATACATATACAAATTTATATATTTTATTTAAAAATGAACTATTTCTATCTACTATGAGTCAGGTAACATCTTTGTGGGAACTATGGGCTTGAGCTAAAACCTGAGCTGCCTCTTTTTGGGGACTTCTAACTTGTTCTAAGAGAAAACATTGGTTTTGTGTTAGGAAACACTGAATTTTTTCTAGGAGTTAAGTGACATGTATAGGAGCCAGTGGTGTGTTTTAACAGTCAATAACATCTCTGGGGGATAACTAGTAATTTGTTATAACAGTAATTGTGGAAACTTCTGATTTGTACTAACAGTTGAATAACATGTTTTGTGGGAGCGATTTAAAAAAATATCTTTGTAGGAACTAGTTTGTTCTAAAAGGTGTATACAAATCTTTTCTTTGAAGAACAAGGTTTCTTCTTTTTTTCCCGCTCTCTGTAAGCTACGGTGGAAAGTCCTGGTTGTTCGTCCATTTGGATTTGTGTCAGTCCTGAGTTTTGCATGTACATCCATTTTACTGGCTTATTTGTGTGCAGTTAGTTCCTTGCCACTGGGGCAGATGCACTCCGACTTTAAAGGAAGTGCCAAATTAGTTGACTTCTGCGACATGCTTGTTGGGAAGGCAGTGGGCTTTTTTCATGTTTTCCCCACAATGGGGCCCAGGAACCCACACAAAAAAAGTTTGGTTTATCTATAAGAGTGAGAAAACATCCTAGTGGGAACCACTGGTTTTTTAATTTCTAAAAGTTGACTTAAGATCTTTGGAAACCGTTACTTTTTTGTAAGAGCTTTCTATTCTTGTTAGAACCAGTTCTTGTTATGGTTTATTGTGAGAGTTAAATAACAGTTTTGCTTAATGGTATTATTTTCCAGGTAGCATCAAAATGCGGATTTGATATACTTGATCTACATTTCTACCTCCGTCGTCAGCAAACAATGCGTGCAGATGATGGCATCCATTGGGACATGAAAGCCCACCGTACCATCTCCAACCTCATCCTGACTCACATATTTGAAGCATGGAGAATTCCTGTGCCCAGAAAACAGGTCACGTTTGGCAGTTATGGATCCACACATGCAAGAAATGGTTACTACCAGCAGATAGGCAAAGACAGACAACAGCCACTGATGTCACAGCCTTTCCAGTGGTGGACTAATGACAGAAGTCTACCATTGCAACCTCAACCTTATCATCAGCATTGGGTTGAAGATAGACAGCTGCAGCCACATTGTGAGCAATGGAATGAGGACAGGCAAGAGCAACCACAATATTTTGAGCAATGGGCTGAGGATATTCAACTGCAACCATTGCCACAAAACGCCTACCAACAGTGGCCTCAAGGCAGACAACAGGTATTACTACCTCAACCACTTCAATTACAACCAGCGCATTTGCAACCAAAGCAAATACAACCACCGCAGTATATTGATTTTAGCACAGATACCCAAGCGTATTCTGGCAATTTTGAATTTGGAGTGGGGAACGTGACATTTCAGAGCATACAAGTTTTTGATCCATTTGTTTGGCAACCTTACCAGCAGAGCTCCCCCTACGGGTCAGATCCCAGCCATTCTCATATTAGATACCAACCCTACACACATAGAAGGCAGGCTGCTGCAGCCAGCATTAGATATAATACTCATTACTAGCTGGACACAGAATTTACATATGGGGGCGTGCTAATACAGTAGTTTCATACTACAGTGTACTGATTGCTAGCAATTCAGAAATTCCATACAACAGTACACTGATTGCTAGCAATTCAGAAATTCCATACAACAGTGCACTGATTGCTAGCAGTACAGAAAGTCTATACGAAAGTGCACTAATTGCTAGCAATACAGAAATTACATACACAGGGCACTGATTGCTAGCAATACAGAAATTCTATACAACAGTGCACTAATTGCTAGCAATACAGAAATTCTATACAACAGTGTGCGCTGATTGCTAGCAGTACAGAAATTCTATACAACAGTGCACAGATTGAAAGTAATACAGAAATTCCACACAAATATGTGTCGACTGCAAGCAATGCGGAGATTCCATGAAGAGTTCACTGATTTCTAGTAATATAACAAATTCCACACTGCACTCATTGCTAGTCATAAATTCCATAGAACCCTGCACTATTGTTTCAATGTAGGTGTTGAAAAACATATATATTTTGGCAGTGCACCTTCATAGTATATTGCCCTGTGCACAGTTAGTAAGCAGATGTGCAACATTAGTCTAAAATCTGTAAATACATACTTGTATAAAGTACTGTAAGATTTGTGTATAAATTACTGTAACATTGTAAGGTAAGGAAATTTCTTGTGCAGCATTATAAAGACATTGCACCTGGTTTTGCAAAATGCACAAGCAGTGTGACATAAATTAAGACTGCCTATAGCAGTGCACAGTTAACATGCAGAGAGGCATACTTTAGATGCTATAGCTGTGCACAGTTTACTAGCGTGGTATCATAAATTTAACTTGCTATATAGCTGTGCTTAGAATAAACGTAATGTGACACACGTGGCTATTACTGTGCATAGTTTACAAGTAGTGTGACATAAAGTAGACTTGCTACAACTGTGCATAGTTTACAAGTAGTGTGACATAAAGTAGACTTGCTACAACTGTGCATAGTTTACAAGCAGTGTAACATAAAGTAGACTGGCTATAACTATGCATAGTTTACAAGTAGTGTGACATTAAGTAGACTGGCTATTACTGCTCATAGTTTACAAGTAATGTGACATAAAATAAACTAGCTGTAACTGCAAAGTTTACAAGGAGTGTGACATAAAGTAACTGGCTTTAACTGCATAGATTACTAGCAGTGTGACATAAAGTAGACTGGTTGTAACTGCACTGTTTATAAGTAGGGTAACGTCCATACGAATGGCTATAAGTATGCACTATTATCTCTGTAGCAGTGAAAACACATTTAATGTAGCTGCACTACTTACACACATTAGTATGCAATGTTTGGTCATTAAAAAAAGAGATTGATTTTACTGCAACAGGTTATAAATAACATCCAGTTGAGTCATGAACAGATATCACATCACTTAGGACATTAACATAGGTGCCATGCCCTCATCTTTAGCAGTCAGCAGTGAAGAGTTTCAATTCTCATGGTACTAGTGGCAGTCATGTCCTTGCCTTTCCTCCAAATTCATTCTAAATCTGTTTCTGTGCAGAATGGCTCACTGACAACCAGGGGCATGAACTATGACAGACCCCAGGGATGTGTGAATCAGTTATACTTATAGCCAAATGACACAGTTAACAGACGAACAGGTCTTTTTCTTCGTATTAACTGTCTGTATACTTTGGTGCAAAGTTCTGATTTTTGTGTGTCCACTTCTGAACATAAGTTTTGTTCCATAAGTTGAGTTTTGCATGCACATCTGTTTTAAAAATCCGGCTTATTTGTATGCAGATTGTTGGTTTCCTTCAGGCAGATGCACTTCGACTTCCTTTTTCCCTTACAGTGGAGCTTTAGAAACCAGACAGGAAAATTAACAGGATATTCAGAACTCTAGGCTAATGGCATGGGTTTGGGTGTAACTCTTTATGTGACTATTACTTCAACACTTTCTATCCCAAAGTTTGTATACTTTTAGAGTAATTATTGTTACGTCTTAATGAGTTAAAATAATAAAACTATGGGTCAAAATGAGTTGAGTTACAACTAAATTAAATTATATTAAAGATAGACAAGAAGAAGAAAAAATGTATATAATAATCAGTAGACATGTTGAGTTGTCCATTATGTATAGGCTGCTAAGAGAAAGGGTTGACACAATGAATATAGCTACACTACTTACACACATTAGTATGAAACGTTTGGTCATTATAAAAGAAGAGATGGATTTTATTGGTAAAGGATAACGTTCTGCCATCACTAGACAGTGATGTTTAGACTTCTTCTAGCTCTCTCCATTGTTTTCTTGATCTGTCTCATTGTTTACTTATAGTTCAGTAATTTTATGTGCACAATTTTTGCCATCGCAGACTAGTAGAAGTACTTTCATTGACTTAAGAAAACAGAAGTAATTGTTATATCAAAGAAAAAGATAACTCCACATTGTGATATCTCAAACTGAAGAAAACAGACTTTACCAAATAAATTCAAATATGTGAAAACAATCGAATTATCAGATGGAAAATGTGTGACACAGATTAAAAGAATAGGTCAAGCAAAATCTGCATTTCAGAAAATGAAAAATATACAATAAATTGCTCTCATTTAATGTCAGAAAAAAGGTGCTAAAATGTTACATAGAACCTGTTCTGCTGTATGGCAGCAAATCTTGGAATGTCTGTGAACAAATTAGGAAGAATTTAGAAGCAACAAAGATGTGGTTTCTGAGACGATAGTTACAAATACCTTGGACGGCTAAAGTAACTTACAACGATTGCTTGAAGGAAGCTAATGAAAGTATATCTCTATATACAACAATAAGAAGGAGACAAACGTTGTTATTTAGCCACATAATGAGAAAAGAGACGTTGTTGTTGTTGTTGTTATCGATCCAGCGGCGCATGAGCTTTCGCCCTTTGGCCCAATGCCATGTAGTGGAATTTGCATGTTTTCACAAGCTGTTCTTTTCCTCCGTACAAGGTGTTCCACTTGTCTGGTTCTCGGAGGGAGGAGTAGCGTTCTTCTTGTCTCACTGAGTTTTGGGCACTCAAAGAGATGGTGTTCAAACAGTTTCGTAGGGGTAGTTACATAGCTGGCACTCTGGGGAGTGTTGTGGCTGTATTCTGGTTTAGGTGTCCATTGAGTGGAGTATTGTTGGGGTTCTAAGTCTGAAAGATGGTGGCCTGGTCCCTTCTTGTTAGATGGTTAATGCTGTCATTAGGATCAGGGGCCAGACATATGTCTATAAAACCTCTCTTCCAGTGTCTCCCATGGCCCATCTGTTCAACCAAGTCTCTTTGTTTATAGCTCTTATCAGTGTTTTTGCTGTCTGGAGGGTTGTCGCTGTAGGTGGTTGTTCTTGTGTTGCTCCTTTCTTTGCCAATCTGTCAGCTCTGTCATTACCTGGTGTGCCGGAGTGACCTGGAATCCCACTGCATCACTATTCTGATGTTGTATGAGGTAATAAGCTGATCGGCATCCAGGATTATCTTGGCTATGTCAGTTTTTCTGCAGCGTTCATTGCCCTCCAGAGCTTGAAGGGCAGACATTGAGTCTGTGAAGATGACAAAATATTTTTGGACCTTTGAGGGGTAAACATCCATTACAGTCTTTTAGGTGGTATACTGCTGTTTCCAGTGCAATTATTTCAGCTTCATAGTTTGAACAGAATTCCCCGCATGCATCAAAAATCTCTTCAACAGATCCATCGGGATAACCTATGTAGATTCCGTAACCTGCTTTAATGGTAGCTTTAAAATGCTGATCCATCAGTATAGACATGTATCCATTCTTGGGGGTAAGAATCAACGGTCTTTAGTGATGAGTTCATAAGAGCGATTGGGTCGGACTGTTTGGTTTCCTCGCCTACCAATTTAGTTTGGACTTCTGGAGCTTTAAAGCGAGCATGTGGTGGTAGGTTTTTTGCAACATTCTGAATTCCTTGACGTCTTTCTGGGAGGTGGTATCTGTCCTGAATTTCATTAACACAGTGTAAAACCGATTTGTGCTTTATTCTTTGTTTGGATTCCCAGTTTTCTACAAGATGTCTATTAGGATGGTTACGATTTTTCCTAACGCATCTTTCATAAATTTCTAAAGTGAAAAGAGACGTTGAAGAATATCCTGTCAACTTCAAAGATCAGTAGAAAAATAAGTAGAGGCAGACCAAGAGAGATTATGCTGGATTTACTAAAACGGTGGCAGGGAGGAATATCATCAAGAAAGCTGTTCCAGGTAACCATGGATTGTGATCTGTAGGGACGCATGAGTGTATACGTCCGTTAGGCAGGGCACATGATGGTGATGATGAGCCTAGTAGCCAATATTAAGATTTGTGTTGTTTCTCTGCTTGCGTCTAGGCCACACATATGTCCTAAGACTGTTCTTATATGGCTTTATCTAGTTTGGCTAGAATGTTTATTTTTGAAATGTTTAATTTCAGATTGTCACACTACCAAAGATGAGTTTAATTATAGTTTCATTTTTTCAAAGCTTTTTGTCTTTTTTGTGTTCATGCTCTGTAAAAACTCTGGCGGAAAGTTCTGGCTGTTGGTTGGTCAATTGTTGACTTTATAGTCTTGTTCCAGAACTTGAGCTTTGAGTGCACACCGGTATTACAGATTTTACTTGTTTGCAAGCAGACTGTTGGTTTCTCACGTCTCAGCCAGATGCACTCCATCTTAAATGGATAATAACCCTTAATTAATTGACTTTTACAACATGCTTGTTTGCAGGGGGGGGGGGGGGGGGGGGGGGGGGTTTGGGCTCTGGGTTTATTCTTTGTTCCGCAGAATTATACACACTGGGGATTTTAAGGCTGAGCTTTTGATGATGTTATGAACGTCTGATACAACTGTGCCAGTAGCAAGCAGATATTACATAAACTTATTCTATGCCGAGAAGCTGTTACTTCAACCCTGTCGCTTGCCCTGAGAAAACTCAGTCTTGTTACTTCCAATGGTGACACTGTTAGTTCCAGTGGTGACACACTCCTGTTACTTCCAGTGGGGA